GCTTATCTCTAACAGAGGTACTTTTTCTTCTTCTTTTTTGCAATTATGGGGATGGAACTCAGGACTTCTTCAGGCTTCACAAGTGCTGTACCCCTGAACTACATCCCCAGCCCCAACAATACTACTTTTTAACAAACATTACTAAAAACTTTATTCTAATGATACTTTAGTGGATATTTTAGTATATCTAGATTATTTGAAATTCAGTGTTCACATTACAATTTTTAAAAGGAGCTTTTATGTAGAGGAAGGGAATTTGGTTAAAAATTCCTTTGAGCAATTCATACATATTCTTGTTATATGGTTGGTAATCCAAGTTTTTCGTATGTCATAATTTTGAGATACGACATAGAATTTTCTGCACATAATTGGAATATAAGATTTAACATTAATCCAGAACAAACAGAAGTAAATCAAGTAATTTTCTCTTTAGTTCTCCAAAGTTAAAATAATCCATTCCAAATCATGTTTTCCTTCTAATAACTTATAACTAAAAATATTGTTTCACTTATTTTAACAATTTCAGTTTGTAGTGAAGTCTAAATATGTGTAATTCTTATTTGAAAAACATTTAAAAGATAAAAATAAGATTATGAATACATTTAAAGCATTTTAGTTAAAGCTTAATGAATTATACTTTTAGAAGTTTAAAATTCAAAATTTGTTTTAAATAAGAAATTGAACGTTTGAAATTTGGCTTTGACATTCTCTGATGTTATGAATAAATCCAATTCAAATAAACCTGTAAGTAGTGAACTTTATCTATAGAGAAAAAGTTAGTTAAATGAAATTGTAAAAATATTTTATAATCAAATTTGAGGTTTTTTAGGAAATCCTGATTTTCTATTTCAGTAATTTAGGTTTTCACAGTGTTTCATACTTTTTTTTTTTTAAACTATTGTAAGCTTACTTTATATTCTTTTTTGGAACTTACAGGGTATGTCATATCTAACCTTGTTGATTAGTCACCTAAGTAAGTTGTTTTGTGCATTGTTCATATCCTTTGACTTCTCTTGCAGTTCTCATGTTTTGGCTTATTCCCACAGTTTTACCAAACATTTCAAAGCAACCAAGCACAACAAGAGTAGAAGCCAAAATGTTTCTCCTTATGGTACTACTGCTTATTACTCAATTTAAATCTATTTAACGTATATTTATTAATTGAATTATGTTTTTTAATCTCTTGTTATTTTAAGAGGCTATATTAGAAGTAACTCACTAATAAGGAAAATAAAACCACCAAGATGTTGAAATGAAGAAATATGTTGTTACTGTTTTAAAAGGGAGGGCCTTCAAAATGAACTCTCAAGGGAGATGGGTGGGAGTCCAGATGCTTGAAGCTGTCCTCTTCCAGGTTAGTGACATGACATTCTCACAAAAAGTTGTTTTGCTTACGTGGTGTAAGTTGGTGGTCCTGGTATTTTTAATTAAAGAATCCATCATAAAATTAGATTTCTTATTGATCATCTTAAGCAGAAGGACTGAGGATTCCTTGGTAAAGAACCACTAACCTGTCCTCTCACCCCCAGGGTGTAGGCACTGAAAAGGATTAAGGCCCACTGTAGGGAACCTTGTACTGAAGCCTGCACTGCCCTTTCCCCTGTTCTTTCAGCTAAATAGAAGATCCTTAGTTCCCATGACTATCAATTCGGGGCTTTTCACAAGCACTAAATTCTTTAAAGAAAATTAAGATGACTTATTTTTAAAAGCTAGCCTAGAAAGATAATGTTTTATTGGTATTTTTTGTGGCAGGCCTCTACATATTTTTTCTAATGGTTTAATTTGCTTTATTTTGAAACTTGGAGGTCAATATAGACATTTAAATTCCAGGACAGTTTTTATATGATTAAGTTTGCTTGTCCAGTTAGTTACGGTAGAGTTTGGCAATTAGAAATAGAAATTAGAAATAGATCTCTGATAGTCCTGTGGACATAAACTCTTAACTTTTATTTCTAAATGACTGCAATTGAAGTTTGAAAGCTTTGAAATTGCTTTTATAAATGCTTAAGTGTCATTTTTTTCATGATCTGTCAAATTGGTATTGTATTTAATCTTGAAAATATATTTTGATTTTGTTAACTAAAGTTAATTGCAGAGTATTAAACATTCTCAGTAGTTACAGCTTTTTTTTTTTTCCGTTTAATTTGAGCTTTTGTTGCCACTAACAAATAATTTGTGGCACAGTTTCTTTTCTTTCTTTTTTTTTATTTTTTAATCTCTGCTAGAATCTACATACTTGTCACCTTAGTGTGCAAGAAATGTTCCACTCAAATCAAGGGTTCTTTCTGGTTTTGTATGTTCTCACCTGCTCCTCACTGTAAATCATTGAGATGTCAAGTGCAATGATTAATTAAGCTGCACGTGCAAGTGCCTTTTTTTTTCACCTGTCAAGCAGGAAAGAAGTCTTATAGCAAGATTAGATGGTGCTAATTCACAGCTTTTACTTCAGACTGTCAAGTGTGTAGAAATATTGTATATTTAGATGCTTATTCAGAATGTAGCATAGCAGGGTTTGTTTGGTTTAGAATTCTTAAATATTTTAAGACACAATTACTATAACAAACCCTATCGTTAAACTCTCAATTAGAGGCAAAGAATAAATTCAGAATTCCTACATAAGTATTTTGGAATTTTAGGTTCATACTTTGTAATTATGTAATTATTTTTTATTCAAATACTGGTAGTTGATGTAAGTTATGTAAAGGAAATATTTTAAAGTTTTAAATTGTGTTTGTATATGTGTATGTATATATATATATGCATCATAAAGAATTCCATTTTCATAATGTAGATTTTCATGGATTTAAATTTCTGATGCAATAAGATGATGCTAACAATATTATTTTCTTTAAGTAATAAATATTTGCAAAGTGCAGTGTTAAGCTTTTGGATTCTATTTTTGTGTGTTAATATAAAACAATAGACTTGGAAAGCTAGTTCTCTCTCCCTACCCTGTTTCTTTCAACACCCCCTCCAACCTTTAAACCATCAGTAAAAGTAAAACCTCAAATTGTATAGTAATCTTAATCTATTATTAAAAGGTCCTAGAAAGGAAGATTACAAGGTAGATTCAGGTTTTGAATCGGTTTTACCATTGGTTTAGCAGCGGGTGGGCAGGCAGATGCCTGCTCATAGTAGAACCTATTGCCATTTTTCACCATTGATAGAGTAGCCTTTCAGAGTCAATGAGCTCTGTCAATGTGAGCTTGTCAAGGCTACAACTTCATAGACCTGAGAGGCGGTTTGAGAGGTCAGCCCTTTTCAGGTTCGCTGTGATGCAAATGAACTTTAATGCTTAAACAACTATTGGAATTTTTATGTCTGCTCCTTGTTCTTTTTTCTTCACAAAGTCATTGACGAGACATTCAGTGCTTTTTAAATTGGAAGTTGCATTGTGCTAAAGACCTAGTACAGATTTACGGAGGGCTGAAAGCAGTTAGATCATGTTCTTTTCATGGTGCGATTAGAATCAAATCGATTTCCCTACAGCCTTCAGCATTCAGATGGCAATTTTAACAAAGCTTGGGGGCTAGACAAGGGACAAAACGACTGAACTGAATGTTAATTACACTCTGCAGCCTTATTTTCTTTTGATTTGGGGCTGACTGGCAACTAAATTAACAAAAAGTGTGACCATAACTGCTGCCCTATTTTCATTTAAAAGGAGAGCTGCCTCTAAAAGGCTATCTTTACAAAGAAACAAGTGAGGTCTGCTGATCATTGTTAACAAGGGCACTTTTTTTTTCTTTAAAATTCTTGCCAAAAAGACTGTTCAAAAAAAGTAATGTAATAAATTAGTCATTGGTGTATTATCACCCAGAAAGGTAGTTGATTTTCTGATTTCTATGGCCTAAGCTTGGAAAATTTAAGACAGTAGTGGTAATTCGTTGGTAGCTATGAATTATAATTGGCACTTACGTGATTTTGGTATGTTTTTAGCATGTTCAACATGCTAAAAGGTAATATTAGAACTAGATTACAATAAATATTTAAATAAATATTAATCTTTTACTATGTAACATTAAAATTCAAAATCAACTTGATCCTAAAAATTTTCATCTAGCTCATCATTGTTTGACAGGCATTACATATTTGATTATTAGTATTTATTTACAGTTGTACCATATTAATAGCGGTAGATGCTTTTTTCCTTCTTTCTCAAGAAAACTGCAGCTGCACCAAGTTGCAGTTGATCCTTGTGGCAATACTATCACTTTTGCACCTGCAGCTGTGTCAGTCTCATCTTAACACCTGGCATCATGAATTATACTCTCCTTTATTCATCCTTCCAAACAAGAAACATTTCCTGCTGCATATATATACTGGAACAATCAAGTGAAGTGAATTTCTCAGTTGATTCTTTAAAGAGTACCATGTATTAAGAATTTGGTTTGACTACCAGACACTACTTTTATATTGGTTTGAACAAAATTTTGACTTTGTTTAGAAACTCTAACTGGAATAATTAATATTTTTTAAAAATGTAGACATTATTTTAAAGTATGATGTTAAAATTAGTTTGAATTTTATAGTTTGGTGGGTTTTTTTCTTTAAAAATGTTCAGTTATTTCATTTTAAGATTTACCCTAAAGGGCTTTTGCATTTTGTTAGTTAATATTTAAATTATCCTTGTTTTAAAGTATTAAGGGCCTTTGTAACTATTTAAATATTACAAAAGTATTTTTGGAAGAACTTAGAACTTAAACATATATCATTTGGCAGATAAATAATATTTTAGACATTGATACTTTGAAATCAGAAGCTAGTAAATTTGAAACAGTTAAAAAATACATATGCAAATAAACCAAAGTGTATGTTTATTTAAAAAGTACTGTTTCTGTTCAGGTTTCTATTTCATGCTAGAACATTGATAGTGGTATACGCCATCTTATACTCAGTCACTGTCATGTTCTTCTCCCCTTTTCACACAAAAAGCAGCTGCAAAACAAAGTTTTTCTGAAACCAGTCAAGAGTAAACTTTTTCCTCATTTGTCTTCCAGACACGAAGATCGATTGAGAAGTTATTAGAATGGGAAAACAATAGGTTATACCACAAGGTGAGTACCACAGGGAGCAGCTTCGTACTGTTGGGGTCTGAATTGCACAGTATGGAAACAGATGCTTTTGTTGAACTAAAAATATGAAAGGTGGACAAATGGGTTAGTCTGTGTGCTGCAATAAAATAGAGCTCATTTTTCTTCTTTTACTCTCCTACTTGTCTAGCTGTGCTTGCACTGGAGACTGAGCAAAAGGAAATGTGAAACGAATAACATGATGGAATATGTAAGTTAAAGGGCTGTTTTGTGAGTTTCTCTATTAAATGATCATTTATTTTGCTTCTGATCTTATTCTTTCCATGATTATTAATCAGCAAAGGTGTCAGGAGCTTAATCTCCTGAGTGCAAGGATTTTCTACGCTTCACAGATGCATGGGTTTCATGTGCAAGCCTGATTTATAAAGTTATGAATGACTTGAAAACAAGGCTTCACTGTGTTCTGAAAAATAATAAATTAATTGCCAAGATAAAATAGCCTGAACATGTGTTGATGGAGTGTGAAATTTTAAATGCTGTATAAAGAATAACCACAACTTTGGTTACGCAGCAAGTCAGATATGGCTTTTTTATATAATGCTAATCAAGTTTCCAAGTATGGAAGAAAACCTTTCAGCCAAGTCATTGGAGCTTAAGAAACCTTTAGCCTTTATAGACTTTAACTGCCAGTATACCTCAGTGGCCTTTAGAGAATCTTTCAAAGTGTTATTAGAATATTGCTTTGTGAAAATTATCTTAAAAGTAAGCAGGAAAGGAGATGCTGATCATTCTGTGTTTTTTCTTTAAAAGATAGTTAATTTTGAATGTATATACAATTTATTTTAGAACTTTAAAATGACTCCTTGATTTACTTGGACAATTGTTTTCCTTTTGAAAAGTTGAAAATAACTATAGGAAATTATGAATCTTTATTTTCTTCCTGAACTTGAGTGTTTTGTTTTAAATATGGAAAGGTTATTACATTAAAAGAAAAAGATCTAAGGAAGAGTTAATTGTTGAAAATTAAAACCACAGCCTTTGTGAAGTACCTGTTATAACATTTCTGATGAATTTTGTCTTTTCTTTGAAACAATATAACCATCATAGATTGTATGTGTGTATAAAAGATTGATTAAAATAGTGTTTAAATAGTTGGAAATTATCATAAAATCATTTTTCTCTATTAGCATTTTCCGGTTCTTTCATTAACATGTAGTCAAATCCCATTTCTAGCCTTGAACAAAAAAGATATTTTTAAGTGTCTTTTTTTTTTCCATAAACTAGCTCTATTCAATGAACAGAATAATGTAGATTTTCTTTATCTATTATATCAAACATGTTAATTTATGATGATGAGAAAGACACTTGATACTTCTTTATAATCATAAGAAAAGCACATTTGAGTAACTTGTTTTAAGGTTGACCTATGAAAATATTAGTCATATTTTTTTATTATAGATAGTAAGAGGGTTTTGTGTACACATTTTGTGGGGAGGAATAGATATTTAGGAGATTTAAGGGATTTTGTAAGAAATATTTGCTACATCTGTAAATCCAAACAAATAAGCTTAAGTTGGAGGCATTAATTATTTTTGTACATTTCTAAATTTACTTTGAAAAAGAAAACATCTAAATTATACCTGAGCTTGGAATATAAATCAGTGATAAGAGCACTTACCTAAATGCTCAAGGCCTTTGTTTGATCCCCAGCACTAAGAAAAAAAAAAAAATTATTTCCAATGCTGTAATTTTCAAGTAGGGTATATGAATTTTTTAAAAAGATTTCATGACTTTTTTTTATTAACCAAAATTAAAATAATTTAGTAACTTCTAAAACATTCTGAACTTTATGCTTTGTTTGGAAAATAGTTTACCTTGAATTTTTAGATAATTAAGCATTTCTAAAATGATTGTATTATATTATCATAGAGGATACCTAGAAGAGTAGTAAAACAAAAAAAAAAATTTTTAAAATTGCTAACAAAGAATGTGATTTTGATAGCTAAAAGCAAAAATAACATAGCTTCAAAAAGTCCCTAAGGGGGCTGGGGATGTGGCTCAAGCGGTAGCGCGCTCGCCTGGCATGCGTGCGGCCCAGGTTTGATCCTCAGCACCACATACAAAGATGTTGTGTCCACCGGGAAAAAAAAAAAAAACTAAAAAATAAATATTAAAAAAAATGTCCCTTAAGTTAAAATAGCATATAATCCAGTAAGAAGAGAGTGAATGCCCCCTTACCTAAGGAACTCAAGCCTTTCTTGTCACGTAGCCTTCCTTCCCTCAGCTTTTCTATAACTTACAGAAATGTCATTTATTAGTTAAAAAGAAAAATAATTCTTCCTGATTGTATTTTGAATTTCGGAGATAATCTAGAAAAAATACCAACTTTATACTAATTTTTCTTTATTCAGATACAATAGAGGGATATGATTTAGAAGAAACAAGTACCCAATTTTTATGAGAGCTTGTTGAAGGAAAAGAGTTTTGTAGGACATGTTTTTTAAAAACTAATGGTAATTCAGTGGGTTGTGATTCGTTCAGCTATAATCTCAGCTGTTCAAAGCTGAGGCAGGAGGATCCCAGGTTTTAGTCCAGTCTGGGCAATTTAGGGAGACCCTGGAAAAGAAACCAGTAGAACTCAAGGGAATACAAAGTTTCCTAGTTCAAATGGATTAACATGTAAATGTGTTCAGATTTGGAGATCATATCAAGACACACACAAAAAAAATAATTTCTGAAAAAAATAATTGACATGCTCACCAAACTTGGAAATTGTTCAGATTAAATGCCTTTTCAGTCAGCAATAGTCCATACAGAGATGGAGCAAGGGAGAGAGTTAAATTAAAATTTAAGATGACTCAAGTTCAGAATAAAAATTAGCTGTCATCAACTTGTATGTTTTTGTATTGTTGTTTTTTGCTTTTGTTTTTTTCTTTTAGTTTCCTATTAAAAGTTCCTTTGAAACAAACACATTTTAATCTTTTTTATTTTTCCCCTTTGATGGTACTGGGGATTGAACCCCGTGCCTTATGCATGCAAGGCAAGCACTCTACCAACTGAACTATATCCCCAGCCCCAAATTTTAATTAATTTTGCTAACTCAAGAAGAAAAAGTCTTTAAAAAATTAAAAGAAGTAGAAAGACCAGTATCCTGTGGTAAAATGAGAACATCTAAAACTTACAGAATTGGGCTGAAAAAGGGAAGAAGCCTGAAGGAAAATATTGGGTCAACTATAGTCACATAATACAATAGAAAGGACAAGGCTTTGGAGTTAAAACAACTTTTTATTCAAATAGTTACTCCATAGTCCATAATGTTACAACTTGTAAGATTATCAATTTTCTCATTTGTAAACAGCAGTGCTAATACCTCATAAATTGCTGGAATTAAATAGACTATAACACTTCATCTGCAATTCTCAGTCTTTTCATTCATTCATAATGTGCATGCAAGTGTGTGCATTCCTCCAGTTTGTCAGGGGCACTGTCTGTATCAACCACGTCTACTTACCTTCTCAGACTTATTTTACTGCCTCTTCATAGAACTGAAATTCAGAAAAATTCTCAATGATGAGGTTCTGGGGTGTCAAATAAATGTCTGCTTTAAGAAAATTTGTAGTTTTGATATGTGAATGGATTTTCAAAAAATTTTAAGTGATGAAAGTGAAGTTTTAAGATAAAAAACTGTTTTAGTCCTTTTAAAACTTTCTCTTCTTCCTTTACAGGTCATCCTCATAGAATTTTTACCAAAGACACCAATTTTTCGACCAGATTAGCATTTACTTTATTTATAGAGACTTTCCAAGTATGTTGTCTTTCCAATGGTGCCTTGCTTGGTGCTCTCCTGGTGGTGACATAACATTGGTTCTACAGAATTGTGTGGTGTTTTTTTTTTTGTTGTTGTTGTTGTTTGTTTTCGTTTTTGTTTTTTTTTTAAATAACCGCATGTTCTGTGTGTGCATATTTGTCAAACTTTGCAAGTTATTTCATACAGATGTTTAATACTTAAGTTATTGTGCTTTATTCTGTTATGTATTCTGATTTTCAAGGATTACTTTTTGTATTCTCAAAAAAATACATTTGAACTTAGCATACAAAGTGGCCAGCCTTTTTTATTTTATCACCAAGGTACACACAATTCTTTATTTATAAATTTCTTAACATAGAAAAACACCTCTGTAAGACGCTACTTATCTATTCTAGCAAGCACACTCTTTGTATTATTTTTTCTTCCTTTTTAAAATTTAATATAGAAATTACTTTAAAATAATAAGTTTTCTTTAATAGCCTTTGGAACATAACATACCCTTTGTCATATAATTCCTAAATATTCTTTTTACAGCAGATCTATCTGTTAACATTATGAAGACCTATCAAAAAGTTTTGAAAATATTTCTGTCTTAAAAGGTAGTAAGGCAGAATTAAATTATTTTTATTAGAATAGGCAAATCAATGAATGGTATGCATGCATCTAATGGTTACTAGAGCTCAGGATCACAAAATATAGTAGCATCACAATCTGCATATATTTTTGGTCAAGATGATATTAATAATGGCCTTACTTGGGTTATTTTTATTGTTCACCATATCTTATATTCAAAACTATGGCAGTACTCCTTTAAACATTTCTAAGAAAAAATATTCCTCCCAATCAAATGTAGTTGTAGAATGGATATGTTTCTAAAGAGTTTCGAAAAGAAAACAAAAGTTCTAGATTAAAAGTAAGCTATTATTTAATACCCCAATGGTATTTAGAACAAGTTCCTACTAAGGGGAATGGAGGACATATTTAGTACTGTTTTTATCTGTGCATTCACTTTCAGTCAGTTATGTTACTTTTTTTGATTGAGAGTGACTGTGACATGAATCATTAGTTTATTATTTTTAAATATATACTATACACATACATACTTTTTTTCTTTTTGATTATAGATAACCTCCATGCATTTAAAAACTTTTTAGATATCTATATGGCCTATGTGTAAATTTTTGTTTTTATAAGCCTGAAATTATACAAGTTTTAATGTGTGTCAAGAGTTTGTTCCATGCAACTGTGGTATCGAGCAATAATGTGAATAACTTTTGAAATTATATAAACTATGCTTAATAATTTGTATTAAGAATTGGTACCACTATATAATACCTTTTTTCCTTGTATTAAATCTTTTAAATACTGGTTTCATTAATTTATATACCTGTATTTTTTTAAAAAGGTATTTCTTTGTACTTCTCCAAAGTACTGTACTTCTACATAAATTTGAATAGTTAAATGCCAGTATCTTGCATCCTATATACTATACTGGACATTAGGAATTATCTTAAAAGCTAGGATTATTTTTTTTTTTTTGTCAGAGAATGATCTGTTTGCCTTGTCCCCCACATAATTTAACAACTTGAATTTATAGAATACTTTTCCTGTGAAGAGCTCAAAGTACAAAGAATTCAAATACTTCCACTTTTATTTAACTTGTGTCTGAAGTGTGTCCTGCCACTTTAAAGTAGTGCAATTAAAAGTAACGCTATTTAAAAACTCCAGTATTTGTCTGGTTTCAGTGTGGAAAATACTGTATCTCCATATAATACTAAATCTGCCTCAGGATTCAGAAAGAGCAAAAAAAATGTAATGACTGTGTAGACTATGCAACACAAGAGTTCCCTGTTTAAAATTGTGTAAATCCATATAATGCTGTAGAAATCAGCATTATGAAAAGAACTTACTTATTTAGATACATTTTTCTTCCCATTATTAGTCTTCTGTCAATAATAATTTTTCAAAATTATATTCCTGTAAGAATATTTTAATATAAGATAAGTTTCATAGTTGATGATATTAAGTATAGAATTTCAAAAAGCTTTTCCTGTTTTATTGAAAGGTAAGTCAGTTGCTGTAAAGATTCCCTGAGAATATGCATTACACTTCCAATGTGTGTGTAGAAAAGAACCATAAATGTTTAATATATTGCATTACCATAAGCCACTTTGAGCTGTTAGAATTTCATGCTTGGATTTTCATAAGGATTCTCCAGTATATTATTTTTTCATGAATCATGAATTTAAGTACCCATGTTACTGTTAATCAGAAATGTCAGAGATGCCCATGTCATATGAATATTAGTCCAAGAAAATATTTAAAATGGCAATTTTTTTCATCAGCTCCTGTTTTCTGATTTAAAGTTTGTGAGATATGAATCAAAGATACTTTCTAAACTGGCCAGGAAAAGATATTGGCAGAAAATCCAATGTAAAGATTTTTATATAGGTTAAGTGACACAACAACTTGGGGTCTTTTAAAATACATCACCTGCATTTTATAGGCAGTCACTATTCCTGTATAGAAACTTTTTTTTTTCCCTCAAATAATGTACTTTGCAAATCCTGTTGTATTTTAGTACATAGATGGGCAAGAAGTCACCTTACCTATCTAAAATCATCATCAGATGCTTTATTAAGACTCTTTAATGACCAGATTTCAGTCATTTAAAATATAAACTTGTAATTTGAGCCTAAAATCCACAAAATACGTTTAATAAAACCTTAAATAATCATAAACAATTATTTCTTTTTCTTATTAGAAAAGTTAGTTTTGTAATTGAATACTTTCAAATCAAGAAGAGCCACACCTTTCCCTATGATTGTGTTTTCAGTGTTATTTACAGAGAACTTCTATATTAGTAGACATAGTCCAGCCATATAAGACTTTGACTTCTGTCAATAGTAATTTTTCAAAATAAAATAAAAATATTTTAACATAAGATAAGTTTCATAGTTGATGATATTAAGTATAGAATTTCAAAAATCTTTTCCATTTCAGTCACTGGCTGCAAAATGATTTTAAGTAACAATATGTACAGTTGGACCTACAGATGCATGAGTTCAGACACTACTACATTATATAACATTATATATGTATTCAGACTGTTTGAAATTTCATGGTATTTGGCCTCACAATTATACCCTTTAGCTGCATTCCTGATGTTTCACTGTGAATATTTGCTTTGGCTTGCTCTAGGTCAATAGTACTCAATCCAAAACTACAACATATTTGAAACTGTCTTTGACCAAACTCCAGCATCTAGTCCTGGACCCTCTTTTCTTCTGTTCTTCTGAAGCACCTGGACATAGCTCGGAATTGTCTTTTTATCTTTCTTACCCAAAGCTCCCAGTGAGCATGTTATTTCTTTTGCATTCTTAGCTAGGTGTTTAGAAGACCAATTAAAGTGAGTCACATTAAGTGATGAATGGCTAAACACCCTCAATTCTGCAGAAGTAATACTTGAATTTTTTAAAAAGGGAGTTTCTTAATTGGTGCAGTTGGTGTTTTTCTTCTCAATACATCATATCCAGACTTCTGAAAGCTGGGGGCCGGTAGGGAAAGAGAAGGAAATAGGATGAACCAGAGACTCCTTCTCAGACCAGTTTTTGAAGGAAGTGATTTATGTTTAGTTTTGCTTAGGAAAGGATAGGCCAGTCCTAAACCAAACCATTAATCATCCCACAGTAGTTTGTGTATAAACACTTAACCTTTTTAAAAAGGAAATCAACTTTTTCTTTTAATTGATACAGCCAACTTCATGTTGTTTTAGGAACATACTTTTTTATTCAAGTTGAGATTTGAAGTATGTCTTTAAATCTTGAGTGATCTTGTTCTGAAAATTTACAAAGATTTTTAGATAGCAATTTAAGAAAAGCCTAAATATTGTATATTATTAATCATAATTCTGTGTATTTCATTCTATAATAGAGGTCAGTATCTCCCCCAAGATGACAAATTGAAGCAAGGCTTATCTTAATATTGAAAACAAAATCAGGATGCTGATCCTGATCTGGCTTTCATTTCTGATGTTCTACAAGATCATCAGATTACTTGGTCTCTTTGCTTTTATTTTCATTTCCAAAAACAAGAAGATGCTGTGACTACCTCATTGTGCTTGCTTGCTTTCTTTCTTTCTTGGTATGGTGAATCAGACCTATGGCCTCATGCATGTTAGGCAAGCATTATACTGCTGAGCCACACTCCAAGTCTCATGGTGTTATCTTATTTTGAAATGATAGTTTCAGTAATTCCTGTTACTTATTAAAACCTATTTAAAAGTAAATACATATTTAATGATGATGATTGATTAGCTTTTTATGACTCATTTTCAATGTCAGCAAAACTCAGGTTACTGTCAGGTTTTGCATTTAAAATGAAAGTGGCTGGGTACTCCCTATATGTACTTACATATTTTACAAATTAGGAAAACATTAAATATAATACTTGAAATTCTTATTTTAGTTATCAATTTTAAAATGAGGGCAGCTTTTAAAAAGTATTATCAGTGATACTGTTAAGGTTTTTTTAATTTTTTCTAATGAGACACTTAAAATATATTTTAAGATACTTAAAGTCACCTATTTTTTTACATTCCCCTTGCTTTCGTAAACATGATGTTCTTAACTCAAACTAGATTTTTTTTTCTTTTTATGAAAAAGACAAAATTGCTTTTCTAGTTCTTGATCTCAGAAATATTTCAATGAATTAAGCACACAGGGCACTCTTAATTTTTTGCAACTAAGCTATTTATTGCTTTGGTGTTTTTTAAAGAAACATAGTATTGTCAGCCTTCAACAAGATAAGTGATAGATGGGTATTTTGTCTACTCTCATATTGAGAGGCAATATATCTCCTATCATATCTTCTACTGGGTCTTGATCTAATTCCAGTTCTTTCTCTTGATATTAATTACTATGTATATTTAAAGTCTAGAAGGATTATATTCTTTTGCTTCTCTGAGAAACCTGTTGTACTAAAATTAAAGATCTTCTCTAGTAATAGTTTATTTTAATTAGGTAGTTAAAACAATCCTATTACATTGCTACAAAGTCTTCATAAACAGGAATTTGTGTTCCCTCAAGTTATCAAAGCCATTTTAAGTTTTATTTCTTAACTTTTGTTGAAGCTGATAGAGTTCTGTCCTCTTAGAAGAAGAGTGGAGTATTGAGAAGCTTAGCATTTATGGCAGTAGAAGCAAGGTATACATGGTTAGAAGGCAAGATGTTAACAAATCTACTGGCGAAGAGAAATAACTACATTGTTATCCTGCACTGGTTTGCAAAGATAAAAGTTATACAATGGTCAGGCATTACACATTAACACATTCTTATCCATGATTACATTGGATTTTTTTTTAAATGAAAAATACTGTTCTAAATATTTTTCTTCTACTACCATGTCCTTCAAAAAGAGACTACCTTAAAAACAAAAGAAGTGTACTTCTATTTATCTTCTATAATTTAAATGTGACAAGTTTTAGAAAAACCTGCTGAATAAGAGAATATAGGAATTTGTTCCTGTGTACTTAAATGAGCTTGGAATAGTTTTCGAATAAGCAGAAATTTCTGATGGTAATCAATTATGCAGAACCAAGAGTAGTATTCCTTTTAGTTGTGCTTTAGATAATTCTAATAACATTCAGGTTAAGTCCAGTAACATTTTAAAAAGTGAAAATAACATTGATAAAAATAAAAGATTGAATTTCAAAGATATGTATTATTTTTTCTTTCATCATTAACAAATTGAAACCACTGACAGACAGATATGGTCTGTTTTACTTAAAATGGAAATGGGGGTGTAGATAAAATTTGTTTGCCTTTGTACTTGTGAAGAAGTAATGTAGATGGAGTAGTAGTTGAAGTGACTTGGTGCATTATTGGTTGTGTATATTTAGTCTTATAAAATTAAGCTCTTGTTGATTGGGATTTTTTTTTAATGATCAAATGAGACCTAATTTGAGCTAGAGGATTTTTTTTTTATTTTTTAAATTTCCTTGCTTTGTCTAGTTAGTATTGTTTTTAACTGATGCTATTGCAACATGTGATTGCAACACAATTCTAAGTTCAAAACTAAAATATTCACAGCATTTAGTCTCTGAAGAATGTACTGAAATCTTAGGCCAACCTAGGTGGAATTGGAAAAGGAATGCTGGAACTTAGAGATAAATTCACTTTAAAGGAATTGATCAAACTAGTAAGGTCTGTTAAAATGACCAAATGAATGGAATAAAACCACACAAAAACTTTAGTAGCCATGACCAACACAAATGTCTAGGAATCAAATAACTAAATTGACATGAATATAAACTTAGGAACTTTATAGTACATTTAAAGAAACTTTTATGTGTTCATGAACTTGCAAAATAGCTGGAAAAAAGAATAGGAGAATGGGGTGGATGTAGCTTAGCAGTAGAGTGCTTGCCTAGCTAGCATGTATGGGTTCTATTTCTGGTGCTGCAAAAGTAAAAGCAACCACAAAAGAATGGGAAAAAAGGACCTTGAAATTCTTATTTTAGTTATCAATGTTAAAATGAGGGCAGCTTTTAAAAAGTATTATCAGTGATACTGTTTAGGTTTTTAAGAAGGCAGAAATAATTCTAATAACTCCTGTAAATGCACATTTTTAGCAGAATTTACTAAAGCTCGTATGTTGCTTTATATCCAGCGACTTGTCACAGAAGTTTTTTCATTTTGACTCAGATTCCAGTATACATATATAACATATATACACATTGAGATATAATTCAACTGAATAACTATGACCCAGTTGACTAAGACATCTTCGGTAGACACTAAAGATGTTTTTACCTACCTTACCTGTATTGTTTTAGTTAAAAGACAAATGACAATTGGTTATACATGAAACATTTAAAAACTCAAAAGGAAATTTTATTTATTTTTGTATTTCTATTCTTTTATTCACATTTTTTATTTTAACATAAATGTGAGTATTCTTTGAAGTGTATTGTTTCTTTCTTTTTTTTTTTCCACAAGTGGAGACTCCAGCAAAAAATGCCATTACTGCTTGCAGTAGTTACTGTCTTAGAATCCATCAGAGAAAGTGTAAGATAGCCCAATCCTTTGTACCTATAGTCTTATACATTGTTAGATATCCATTCAATTTTCTTTGTATTGTGTGTGAGATGAATATTTCTTGAGACTTTTTTGTTTGCTTTACTAAAGAAATCAACCAAGGAAAAAAAACTCAAAAAACAAAACAAACAAAAAAACACCCTGTAACTCATGTGAAGCATGCAGGGTGTTGTAATTTCAGTTTGCAAAGCGGTGTGATACAATGTTGCTGAGCCAAAAGCACACGATAGATTTAATGTAGCCAATTGTGTACTTTTGAAAAAAAGAGTAACTGTTCCCTGTGAGTTAATTTTGGATTTTTTCAAAATCTCTCTTTTAGGCTTTGTGCTGGATTCTTCCAGACAAATGCGTATTCCATGTGGGCCACTGTTCTGCTAAATGCTCTCAGTTCTCCTTTTGCAATCAAGATTATGTTGCTAAGGAGATTTTGCTTTTATTGGTGCCATTGATTTGTGTTAATACGTTTTGAATACCTCTTGGTATTCTTCCGTAGACAAGGCCAAAAGAAAAACTTCCCCGAGTTTCCCAATTTACATTACAAATGGAGCGGTGGTGTAATGAAGCCGATATAAAGTGGGCAGTTGAAAAGGAACTAAAGAAGGGCACTCAAGTGAGAAATGAAGAAATGTGCCAGAGTGCAGTCTGTTGGGCTGCCCTCAGTCCAGCTGCAGGAACTGGCTCTGGCCAGAGGTAGAGTGAGTGAGCACCTCCCTTTGCAAAGACCACCCACTTTTGAAGCCAGGGCTGGCACATGGATTACCTCACTGACTAATATAGGGAGGGCCATTTAAAAAGTG